ATAGAATCGGTATATTACTCCTCCTACGAAATCGTCATCCCCCAGAGTTTGACAGTGAAGGGAAGGGAAGACCCAGTGGAAAAGGCATCCTACATGCTATATATGCAGGGCCAGAAACAGGTGATTCACTTGAAGGTGAAGAAAGACTATTTTGTGAGCAGCTTTCCGGTCTTCAGCTACCACAATGGGATCCTGGAACAAGAAATGCCCTTCATCTCACATGACTGCCACTATGAAGGCTACATAGAAGGAGTCCCAGGCTCTTTTGTTTCTGTCAACACATGTTCAGGCCTCAAGGGCATCCTGATTAAGGAGGAACAATCCTATGGCATTGAGCCCATGGAGTCTTCAAAACGGTTTGAACACGTGCTGTACACCATGGCACACCAAGCTCCAGTCTCCTGTAGTGTCACCTCCAATAAGAGTCAACAAGGGGTGTCCACCAGCCGGCAACAAGGGAGCAGGAAGCTTCGTGATCTACACGCACCGTCCTACTTGTGGTCACACACCAAGTACGTGGAGATGTTTGTTGTGGTGAACCACCTGCGGTTCCAAATGTGGGGCAGTAACATCAATGAGACAATCCAGGGAGTGATGGACATCATTGCTCTGGCCAACAGCTTCACTAGAGGAATAAACACAGAGGTGGTGCTGGCTGGAATGGAGATTTGGACCGAGGGGGACCTAATAGAGGTCCCGGTGGACTTGCAAGTTACGCTCAGGAATTTCAACAGCTGGAGACAGCAGAAGCTCTTCAGTCGGGTGAAGCATGATGTTGCCCACATGATTGTTGGGCATCATCCCGGACAGAACATGGGACAGGCATTTCTCAGTGGTGCCTGTTCAAGTGGTTTTGCAGCAGCTGTTGAATCCTTCCATCACGAAGATGTCCTCCTGTTTGCCGCACTCATGGTCCATGAGCTGGGGCACAACTTGGGTATTCAGCACGACCATTCCGCCTGCATTTGTAAAGATAAGTACTTTTGCCTCATGCATGAAAATATCACCAAAGTAGGTGGCTTCAGCAACTGTAGCTCTGACTCCTTCTACCAGTTTCTGCATGAACACAAAGGGGCGTGTCTGTTTAACAAGCCAGGGCACAAAGGTCGCACACGTAGGGATGCCATCTGTGGAAATGGTGTGGTGGACGGCCAGGAGGAGTGTGACTGTGGTCCTATCTGTGATAGGCACCCATGTTGTGACCCAACATGTAAACTGAAGAAATACGCACAGTGCAGTCAAGGACTCTGCTGCTTTGAGTGCCAACTGAGAGGGAAGGGATACATGTGCCGTCCCGCTGGGGATGAGTGTGACCTCCCAGAGTATTGCGAGGGTACCTCTGAAGAATGCCCTGTAAACACCTATAAGCAAGATGGCACACCTTGTGAAAGAATTAACTACTGCTATATGGGCCAGTGTAGGAACCCTGATAAGCAGTGCATACGAATTTATGGGCCCCATGCAAGGTCTGCCTCAGAAGACTGTTACCAATCAATGAACAGCAAAGGAGACCGGTTTGGAAACTGTGGCCGTCCCTCTGAGAATGACCCAGTTTATGTTAAGTGTATAGATGATGATATATTCTGTGGGAAACTTATATGTACAGATGTTGCATACTTACCAAGAATCAAACCCAACCATACGCTCATCCAGGTCCCTTACACAGATGACTGGTGCTGGAGCATGGATGCCTATAATGGTGCTGACATCCCTGATGATGGAGACGTGCAGACTGGCACGTATTGTGCCCCAAACAAAGTCTGTATGAATTACTCCTGCGTTGATCACGCTGTGTTCAACTATGACTGCAAACCAGCTGAAATGTGTAATGGGAAAGGAGTGTGCAACAATTTAAGGCACTGCCATTGTGAACCTGGCTTTGCTCCTCCTGATTGCAGAGCACCAGGAGATGGGGGTAGTGTGGATAGTGGGCCCCCTGCCAACCTCGATGACGTAAATACAAGTAAAAGTGAACAAAGAAGTCATAGTAGTGGTGGTGCTAATGCCCACAGAGTTGATGAGAAGACTAGAAAGGAAAACCAAAGCCTTGGCAAATTAGTGTACATACTCCCCCTGTTTCTTATTGTATCTTTTTTAGTTCTGATTATTCTTGCCATCCTTGGGGCAAGAAAGCAGTCACCAGAGACCCAACAAGAATCCACAGAAAAAGCCCCAAATGCAGTCCTAGAAGAGCCTGCAACAGAAGAAGAAGTAGGTGAAGGAGAGGAAGAACCAGAGGCAGAAAATGAGTAGTGGAAGGAAGAAGCCAAATATCTTAAACATCTGATGCACTGAGGATGCATAAAGGGCTCAGTGAAGCAAAGCTTAAGCGGGAAGTGATGACTCTGATTTGGACTATATAGTCTGTAGAAACATAGTAGTGTCAGAGAAGAGATTTTTCAAACTTTATTTTAGTAATTTTGATTATAAACACGTAGGTAAGATCACATATGAAAATATATTTTACTACTTTATTCAATTTCCCATTTCACAAAATAATGTTATTCATATGAAATTCACATTTCATGAAACTTCTCACGGATCATTTCTATCAATGTTTTGTCTTGATATGGCTAACTAAGTCACCCGAAATCATTTTCTACAGCATGCCAATCTCCATGTATGTTGTTTTACATACAGCATTATCTGTACCTGTATATATTGTTATCACAGGATTTTGCATCCCAACCACAACTATTTATTATGTTAGGAAAGTTGTTTATGTGATTAATTATTCTAGTTTACCCTGTCAAGTATATTCATGAAATGAGAAGAGATTTTAAATTAAAATAAATAAATAAAAACCTATCTTCATATGAGGCATCACTTCAGACTCCATGTGGCCTAATAACTTAGTCTCCTTTTCCTTTGGTGCTCTGGGGAAGAGGCTAGACCTGATGCAGAAGGGCTGATCATCCTGGATCTGGATGGATGGGGGAGGGGAAGACCACCTAGGCAGGGCCAAGAGTCCCCTTGCACAGGGAAGAGTACATACTTGAAGTATTCATATTTTCCTTTGTTCTGTTTTTTCTGTTGTTGTTATTTTTTCTCAACTTTTATGAAGTTAATACATTGTCAACTGACATTCCAAAGGAAGAAAACTTTGCAGGTGGCAATTTCTTTGTGAAGAAAGCACAAAAAAAGTATATTAACATTACTAATTCTGTGCCAGACACTGTGCTAAACACTTTACACTCATTGTCTTAATTTATTCCTCCAAGCATACATCTGGGGCTACCACTTGAGTCTCCGAGGGTCAGCGTGGTGCCAGGGAGAGCTGCTGATGGACACAGGCCCTGTATCATCCACTGATTCATCTGGACCATGTCAGTGGCAGCCTCAGTGAGAGACTCTGCCTCTGTCCTGCCTTCTCTACAGAAAAACCAAGTGATTATGAATAAGACAGAAAGAGCACTTCACACTTGGACTCCCCAGATGAAGGGCTTAAGGCTGGGGCTAGGACCAGTAGTACCTTCACGTGTCAAGTTGGGGATCATGTTGCTGGTGGGAATGATTTTTCTCCCAAGAATGTACTGTGGCATAGAATCGGTATATTACTCCTCCTACGAAATCGTCATCCCCCAGAGTTTGACAGTGAAGGGAAGGGAAGACCCAGTGGAAAAGGCATCCTACATACTATATATGCAGGGCCAGAAGCAGGTGACTCCATCCTATCAGACCTCCACCTAGTACATGAGGAGACAGAAGCCAACAAGATGATAAAAGTAGTCTAGAGCTAGTAAGAGGTGGAACCTGGGTGCCTCCCCAGGTATGACTGAATCTACATTCCCCACTGCCTCCATGAGCCTTTTACTTGAGTAAAAGAAGTGAGGGGGAAGACACTCAGTATGTTCCCAGTTGCCCAGAACGTAGCTTTTCCTCAGTGGTTCTAATGAAGGAAAGACTTACAAATGGATGCTGAGCTCTATTGTGAACCTACGACGTTGTATAGTCCATGTCCATTCAAGTGCCTTTTCTGTGATTAGACCCCTGACATCACAGAGAGGCAGGTTTGCATTTTATTAAGCTCTGTGGGCCCAGCACATTATAGGTGCTTAATAAATGTTTACCAAGTGAATGATTTAAACACCAAAAAAATCAAACCCTTTGTCATCGCATCAACTCTGACACATGGCGACCCCATGTGTTACAGAGTAGAACTGAGCTCCACAGAGTTTTCCTGGCCATAATCTTTATGGAAGCAGATCACTAGGACTTTCTTCCGTGGCACCGCTGGGTAGGTTTGAACTGCCAACCTTTTCATTAGTAGCCAGCCGTAAATCGTTTACGCCACCAAGGGACTTTAACCATAGCCAACCTTAAAACATGGGACTAGATTTCTCCCCGGGCAGGCTGCTACTTGCCAGTCCCTAGCCATGCAGCAACCAAACTCTTGCTCATTCATAGTATTGCTACAGGTTGAGTGAACGTCCTGAGTGATTGCTCCTGAGCATCCGTCTATGAAGATACATTTGCTGAGCACCTCTTCTATTGCCCATCCTATGCCAGCAGAAAAGTGCAGACACAAGAAGGATAAGACCTGGTTTCTGCTTTCATGGAGTTTATGTTAATTACTTCTGATGGAACAAAACTAAAACTTAAGGACGAAATCCAAAATCAAGTGTTCAGTTCTCCAAAGGCATGACTGTAAGTACAACAAGTAGGAAAACCAGGTCATGAAGATCTGCTAGTCATTCTCCAGTAATCAAATCCCAGAATGTTTTATGTCAAAAGATTGAAACGATCAGAAGAACAAAAGTTATAGTGAGTAATCATGCTACCAGTTGGGAGTCACCTGAGAGTTTTGAGAACAAGGGTGAAACTAGGTAACTGAAGGCCAGCAAATGTAAACTTGTCATTAGAGACTTCTGAAAAAGAAGTGGAAGATTTCTGCTGAGAAGCACCCTGGGGGAGAACTGGGATTTACAGAAAGGTTCATCTTCCTTAAAGGGCATGCTGATGGCGACTACAGTAAATAGTAGTGAGCATCACATATTTAAAGTAACTAATCAAAGATAAAGGAATCATGATTTATGTACAAGATAATTATGCCATGAGTCGGAATCAACTTGATGGCAATGGGTGTGGTTTTTGGTTTTAATTTGATGGAGGAGTCCCTGGGTGGCGCTAAAAGTTAGCCTGCTCAACTGCTAATCAATAAGTTGGAAGTTTGAGACTACCCAGAGGCACCTTGAAAGAAATGCCTGGCAAGATACTTATGAAAAATCAGTCATCGAGAATCCTACAGAGCACAGTTCCACTCTGACACAGATGGAAGGGTCACCATGAATTGCAGACAACTTGACAGTAACTGGTTAACTGGCAATTTAACAGAAATCTTTAAAGACAAAAAGGCAGGTAGATGATTGGAAATCAGTCAATAGAACCTCATTGTTGTTGTTAGTTGCCCTTGAGTGGATTATGACTCATGGTGACCCCATGTGTGTGGAGTAGAACTACTCCATAGGGTTTTCAAGGCTGTGACCTTTCAGAAGAAGATCACCAGGCCTGTCTTCCAAGGCACCCCTCTGGGTGTGTCTGAACCACCAATATTTTGGCTAGTAGTTGAGCACTTAACCGTTTGTGCCACCAGGGATCCTGGAACCTACTAAGATTTCATAATATTTAACAACAAAAGTTATCAGAAATTATGAAAATAAAGAAGTTGATGAGACCCTTTTTTTTTTTTCCCCCCTATCCTTAAAGTTGACTTGACCCTCAGGGTTACAAGACCAGGTTTAGACCAGAAACAAAGATTAGGACACCTATTTGAATGGACTTCCATAAAAATGGTGATAGAAAACTGCACCTATTCAAAAACTGTCAAATGAATTTTAAAATGTGTAGAAACCAGGTGTGAAGGGTTGAGTGAAGGCCATTAGGATAGACTATGGCAGGGGAATAACCATTTTTGCTGTGGGCAGGAGTGAACAGGTAGGTATAACTCAGTCTGAAATCTCTAGGGTTCAAGGGCCAGCATTCCCTGTAAAAGCACAGGTGACAATAGTCTGTTCTGCATTATGTGTGACTGCCATTTTGCCTAGTTCCTCTCCGCAGTATATTCGGGGGATTCTGAGGAATGCTTACAAGACCCACTAGTCTGTGTTGGTAGTTACTCGTGACCTAGTCAGCTGCCCCAACGGGAGACTCTGACCATGACTCCATGCCATCCTTTACATGTCTCTTCTTGGTTGCTTTGTTCTTTCTGGGCTGTGTCAGGACAAGAAACAACATAACTCTTCATTTAGTTTCCCAAATCACAGCCAAGTCCAGGCTCTAGAGTCTTTATCCACTTGGGGGAAACAAAGGGAAGTTACAATGTAGAGAAGAAAACACATTTGGATGCAGCAGATATTAATGTTGCTGGGGTCCATGGGTCATGCCCCTCCACAGGGAGACTGGAAAGGCCATCTCTCTCCTTGGCCCCAGCCTGACATCCTTTCTTGTCCCCACAGGAGTCTCTTTTGGAATGTTCTCTTAACCTGGATTTAGCTCTTCTCCCTTCTCTGAGGCCCAGTGGAAAGAAGGAAGAAAAAAAAAAAACATACTGAAAAGCCACAGTGTCAACAATGAAGACAAAGGGATACACCAGAGTTTAAAAAACAAAAACAAAAAGCTTCTTGTATCTCCAAACTTCATTCCTGAAGAGAATGTTGGCTTGTCTGGGGGGTCAAAAGTCTGACTGAAACTATTTAAAAATGGAAAAAAAAGAGCAGTCTCTCTCCATCAATGAATTTGCAAAATGCTGAACAACTGTAAAAAAAAAAGTTTCTACCCTGCTTCTAGATATTAACCTTTCAAAACTTTTGAGGTCCTACTTCAGACTCTGTTATATATATATCATGGCTTCTGATGGTTACTCTCCAGTGAGGAGACAAATCTTCCAAAACTTCTTCCCCATAACTATGTGGGACCTGACACCTTATGCCATAAGTTAGGGAAAAGCTATCTACTTACAAAGGCTTCTGGGGAGAGTAGAATCCTAAATACTTTGACCTTGAACCCCACCTATGAGCTAGATCATGGGTCTTTGAAACCTGTAACATAATTACAGAAATTTCAAAGCCTCAGCTGATTGTGTTTAATTAGAAATGGAGGTAGAATTTGCTTTTATTTGTAGGAGAAGCTTTCAGAGACCCTTTGTCGTGCAAAGGTAAACCCAAGTCCTATTCTGCACTGGAGCGGTTGAGACAGCATTTACACAACTCAGCTAACAATGTACACCAGTTGTCTTCAATGTAGGCAAAGTAACATCTCTGTTGAGAACACTGTGATGCTGACCCCTGAGAAGGAAAGGTTTTGGTGACAGAAAGTTGGGGGGTGGGACTTTGAGAAAGGAGAGGCAGGTAAAGGACTGAGGTACAAGAGGGCTGCAAAGGTAACCCCTCTAGAGAAATATGGCCTAAAGAGTCTTGAAGTCTTGATG